GAAACTTGGAAGCACAAAAGCAGTACCATCAATCATATTGCTGGGTTACATACCATTAACCATTCTAATGCTTAATACTTGATTTGAAATAATTTAATTTCTTTTTGCCAAGTAAAATAAGTTAATTTGATCCCTTTGGAATTATCTCTAGTTCTATTCTCTTTACTAAGCAAGAACTAAGAAGAATCTTAGAATTCTGTGTACCAAAGACGTGATAGGCTTGCCTCCCCACCAAGTCAAATCCAAATTCCAAACTGGCCATTGCCTTCAAAGTTTGAAAATTGAAACCCAAAAAATAGCAAATGATTAGAATGATATGTTGTAAGGCTAAAAGAATAAATAACAATACTCACCTGCTACGAAACTTTTCTTATGATATAAATCAATCAAGTTGGGCAGTAATCAATGTTTTTTTTCACCAGTAATTGTCTTTATAAAGTATGCTCTTACTGTACAAGCTTTAATACATACAGAAAAAATGAAGCTAAAACTATCAAAACATATACTAATGCAAACATAAATGGTGGTCAACCAAGTTAATTTGAAGATGATAAAACTCTTTATTAAACATCACATAACAGCTGTGCATGTCATAGAAGAAGAGGAAACAACTAAAGAATTTAACATTACCAAAAGCCTTCATTGAAAAATGCTTAAGTTCTAGACCTCACTGGATTCCCTCTCTCTTGGTTCTCAATTCTTCTCTCTATTAGCATTCATCATTCTAATTCCTTTCCTAACTCCAATTGTTTGATCTCCACATTTCTATTTTTGACAGCCCCAAGATTTATATTAATTACAGAAAGTGGATAAGAATTAATTGATGATACTACTTTAAATTTAAACTCTTTACTACTACAACTAAAAAATCATTAATGGAAGGTATCAATGCAATATAATGAAAATTTCAAATATATTCCTTAAACTTCAGGTATTTTATATTGGGGATGTTAAAAGTTAGAGGTCAATCAGAGGAAGTTTAGCCATTGATCTCTTCAGCAATAAAATCCAGGATTACAATGGACAAAATCAGAAGGAGAAGCATATCAGTCATGTACTAAAAAACTTAAATGAATACCAAAGTACAATTATTTTGTAACAAAACTCAGAAGATGGTAAATCAACATACCTTGGCAACAAAGCTTGAAAAAGAAGACACGCGATACAATATATGTATATATAAAACATGGTTAGAAATGATTGCTCCAATTCTTTCTGCCTCTTCTGATTGATCTTTGCTCTAATTCTAAGCCAAAAAAAAAAAAAAAAAAAA